GGACGGGGTGTCAGCCTGGCACCGGTGCCCGGAGGTCCCGGCAGTGCCATCCCTGGCCAGGCTGGGGACAGCCCGGATGCCAGCTCTGGGGTAGGCAGGGGGCCATGACCTCGGTGGGCACCTCTCCCTGCTCATCTCTGGGTTTCTCTGGGGCTCTTCTTCATTTTGGTTCTTCTCCTTCACACCCCACTTCTCTCCCCAACAGGAGAAGAAGACAGCGGCCATGGTTGTGGTGGGCTTTCCCCCTAAGGGATGCAGGAGAAAAGCCCTTGCTACGCAGGCACCGGAGCTGCTGGCTTAGCCCTCGCCAGGGATGGCGACCCAAACGGGGCTGAACACCACGGGCGGCCTAGAGCCACCCTCCGACCCCGAGCAGTCCGTCGCCCAGGAGGTGATGGGCCTCCTCTGCATGGTCCTCCTCACTCTCACCGCCCTGGTGGCCAACACCGTGGTGATGGTTGTCATTCTCAAAACCCCCCTTCTCAAGAAGTTCATCTTTGTCTGCCACCTCTGCGCGGTTGACCTCCTCTCTGCCATTTTCCTCATGCCCCTGGGGATCATCTCCAGCTCCTCTTGCTTCAACAGGGTGATCTACAGCATTGCCGAGTGCCAGGGCTTGATGTTCCTGAATATCTGCTTCATTAGTGCCTCCATCCTCACCATCTCCATCATCAGTGTGGAACGGTACTACTACATCGTCCACCCCATGAGGTATGAGGTCAAGATGACCATCAGGTTAGCGGTGGCTGGAGTGATCTTCATTTGGGTCAAGTCTGCTCTCATCACTGTCTTGGCACTGGTGGGCTGGCCTCAAGGCAATGGGGCCACCAGGCCAGCCGCTGCACCGTCTACTGGAGCCCTGGGGCCCACAAGAAGGTTTTTGTCATCATCTTCAGCATTGTCTGCTTTGTTCTGCCCACCATCATCATCTTTGCTGTCTACTGCAGTGTCTACCGCGTGGCCCGGATGGCATCACTGCAGCACGTGCCCGTGCCGGCACAGGCAGTTGCACCGAAACACCGATCCGACTCCATCGCCAGCCAAGTGGCCATCATCACCACCAGGAACCTGCCGCTGCCCAGGCTGACGCCAGAGCGCTTTTTGGGAAGCAACAAGGCTATCCTCACCTTGGTCCTCATTGTGGGACAGTTCTTGTGCTGCTGGCTGCCCTTCTTTGCTTTCCACTTGCACTCCTCTGTCACTGCTGGCACAACAGGTGGTGGGCACGGGGAGATGGTGGTCACCTGGATTGCCTACTCCTCCTTTGCCATCAATCCCTTCTTCTACGGGCTG